TTTTCTTTCTTAGCAAATCTCAAATCTTAACTAGAGTTCAATGCTATCCTATCAACATAAGCGTGATAATACGTATACTTTTCATATCCGCGTGCAGGTAATAAAATATTGTTCGACTTTCGATGACGAGGAACCCATTTAAGCCGTCTCCAGCCATTATTATTCGACTTTATTACAAACAATTTAACTTAAGCCCTAAGTTAAGTGAACTCTACCTCAACTCAAAGTTCAACTTTTTGTCCGTCATACTTTCCTTAAACTATCAACAGAATTAGTGTGTTAGATTTTTGTTAAAGTGTTTCTGGTCTGATTTATTAGACGTTGCTTTTCCGATAAAAATACATCAATAAAACCTTTCGTGGTATTTCAGTGCCCTGGTCATCAATGTGACTTGATCAACGGACCACTCTGTAAACTGGGATATGTTTGCAAATCGATTCTATTAATAGATTTACGATTTCATATATATATATGTGTTTCAATAAAAATAGGTTAAAAGATAAAAGTTACGAAACTGACATACAACGAATATGTTGAGTTCTGATAACTTTCAAACCTATTAATACTTTCTATATAAAAATACTTTGTGCTTCATAACTTTATATTCAACTTTTTTTCAATACATTTAAGTTTCCTAATATCTAACAGTAACCTTACAATGACTTCACTTTTTATTTTGTGAAATAAAAATGTGTCTACAAATTATTCTTGAGCTTCTTTATTTTTGTTATTTTATCGTATGCTCTTATGAATTAATTTGCCTTATTAATTTACATAACAATATAAAAGTAATTTAAAATATTCAGCGTCTCAAAGAATCTCGTTAATATAACTAAAAAAATCTTAAATTAAGACTTTGAAAACAAAGCATAGGGAAATTTAGTAAACGAATAACAGTGAAACATTTCATAAACGATTTTCTCTAAGTAGGAAAAACAATTCTTTATCTGTTTCTAAATCACTTGTAATATTAAGCTTTAACAACCGAGTCACATGAACAGAAAGGTCAATAGATAAGCGACAAATAATGGGTAAAATACTGAATTAAAGTGCCTCCCAGTGGCACAACGGACTTACAACACTAGAAACCTGGTTTCGATACCTGTGGTGGAAAGAGCACAGATAGCTCATTGTGTAACTCTGTGCTTATCTTCATATACACAAGTTATTAAAGTTTACAACAGTACTGTGTAAAATCAACAGAGACAAAGATCTTTTCAAATATTACATGATCATAATAAAATGATTCTCATCAACGTCATGAATCAGTTGTGAATAGCATTCCAATTTAACTGAAAATTATAAAACATTAGTAAAATTCTTCATAAGAAATAAACAACAGGAACGATCTCATACTCTTCACATTTCCAAGGGCGTGTTTAAACAGAAGAGTAGACCTCTATAAACATGGGAGAGGTATAAAACTTGTTACTTCGAAAGTACATTATTTGAAGAAATCTCTAAAACCAGTAAAAATGAGACATATTTTCCCGTTTTATCATTCAGAAAATTCAATTGAAATAATATAAATTTCCTACTAATATACACAGTATGTCATAAGTAATGCTGATATTTGT